AAAGGGTAGTTTTGCATTTTTATATTAATGTGACTATGCCATAGAAAAACACAAATGTATCAAATCGTGTTATGTTATCTTTAATGTTGCCAACTGAAGATATTTTGGATTGCCGCTATTTAGTTGTGCCATGATTCGCTGGCCAGACTATAAACTTAATCTCATTGAATAACGTAACGTAAAGCACCAAAATCTACTAACAAAAATCATTAAAAGAAATAAATAACTGTGCCATTTAGTTATGACACGAAATCATGTCGGCAACTGCGGCAATTCAAAATATTTTCAACTGGCAATCTTATATAACATGAAAAAGTCGATTTGGTACTTTGAGTTTTTCTATGGTGTAGTTACATTAATAATTTTACTGGTGGTAGGATCTCTTGTGAGTCCGCGCCTCCCGCCCGCCTATCTTTGCCGTAAAGCAGTAATGCGCTTCGGTTTGAAGGGCGGGGCAGCCGTTGTAACTATACTGAGACCTTAGAAGTTATATCTCAAGGCGGGTGGCGCATTTACGTCGTAGATGTCTATGAGCTCCAGTAACCACTTAACATCAGGTGGGCTGTTAGCTCGTCGATGGGTATCTAAGCAATAAAAAATAAAAATAAAAAAGGCATGAAATAAATTGAAATGAAATGAAATGTGATGAGATAATATGGGAGCACGTAATGATTTATATTTTATATAAAAAAGTTATCATATAAATATAGTTTTTCATATAAAAAAGTTTTCATTAAAATTAAAATAAGACTGACCTAAAGGTCTTAGTTACCAGGTCAAAAAATCCCTTAAAAAAATTATTTCGTGCGCAGCGCGTTTCGCATTACGTTGTTTTTAATTTTTGGCTTTCGTTCGTTTTCGTAAACAATCTAACGCGCGATTTCTCGTAACAGGTTCCATTTTTATTTTAAAGCAACCTGTTGCTGCAACAGGTTTCGTAAAAAATTACTCATCTTTAGTAGGAAACAGCCTCAAAAATATAGTTTTTATTAAAATATCTCGAACAATAAACATAACCTAAAATGTAAACATTGTCTGATTTTACCAATTTGGCCATTGCTGGGAGACCTGAAAATTGGACTCATGAAACCTTCTTAGGTATTGTAACTTATGCCCAAATTCTAGCACTGTAACGCCAGGCCCAAGTTTGTATGGATTTCGGGTTTGTCCTTTGTTTGTGTTAACAGATATATTTGCATGACTGGTAGATAATGTTTTAGGCATTAATTCCGGCAATTTAAATAAAATAATACATGTAGTTTAATAAAAAAATTTACGTGTTTGTTAAAAGATAAAAAATTCTTAACCAATTAATTAATTACTTCAAGATAGAAAAGGTAAAGGTCTAACTATCATATTCTGACTAAGTGTGTGAATCACGATAAAATACGTATTAATACAAAACGCCGGCTTATCAAATTAAACAACGCTTTGCCGCGGTCATCGCACTTCATAATTTATATTTTTTATGAAGAAACGTTCGGAGAAACTCTGTCACGATTAAGATTTTATTTTTCGCGACTCTGAAATAGGATTTGGAAGTATTGATAAGCAAAAAATAAAGTCTAGTATCGCGTATTTTAGGAAAGGTTTACATGTGTCGTTACAAAGTGTTATCGATAATTTTCTTAAACATATTAGAAATATTTCAAAGTATTATTTGATTTATACTAGCAATTTGAAAGATAATCAATGTAATAGTACGTGAGAAAACACCAGTTATTGATGTACCATATACTGATATACTATATTAAGACATATCAAACCATGTCTCAAGGTAGGTGGCGGCATTTACGTTGTTGATATCTACAGTCTCCGGTAATCACTTAACACCAGGTGGGCTGTGAGCTCGTCCACCCATCTACGCAATAAAAAAAAATAAAAAAAACGAAGTACCAGTATAGGGATGAGTTTTATTGGTTTTCGTGAGACGTAAGACATAACTAACTACCTTTACGACTAAAAGTCGTCTAAGTCCGTGAAAACTGTAAATTATTCGAAACAACCTTAACGATATAATGACATTAAACTAAGGTACACATAGTTTTAACCCTTTGCGCGCGAACCATCGATAGATCGACCCTCTATTAATGCGTATAAAGTGCGGAGTGTCGGAATATCGACTATTTGCGAGGTTGGCTTATGGATTATGGGTCTCGATCTGTTTCAGCACGTGCATGCATAACCTTTTTTATAAGTCAATAACATTATAAATAACTATTTAAAATTATTTTGCTTTGAATAAATTCATTTCGCGGAAATTCATTTCAATTGCGCCCATTTTTATATTTTAAGTTAAAGTTTTTTATGAGGTACTTTTTTTCAAAAATCTTTTAGATTTTTTGACAAAATATGTGAAAATTAGCCCAGCACTCAGAGTCAGAGTATCAACTTATAAAATCAGCCTACCTAACAAAAATTAAAAGTAATCTTGGCCAGCACTCTCCTGTCTATCCTATGATCTCCCTGACTACTAGTATACGTGATGAAATAGACAGACACATATGATACCCACACTTCTCTAGCCTCACTTAAAGTAAATTGAAGATCCGTGATCCACACTGAGCTGTATAGCTCATTTGATTATACATTTTTTTACATATTTAACATTCATTTACCTTTATTAGTTTTTTAATATGTTGATGCTTTCTGTATATTTATTTGCCATGTTTTTGTTTTCTTACTCTTTTATATGTGTATATTTCTTTTATAATTTATTAATAAAAGTTAGCTTCTGACGATTTTTAACACAACCGACCTTATGCAAGGTGTGTTCACACCTAGAAGGGTGTATCAGTATACTCGTTTTTACTATTTAAGTTAAAAGTTAATGTTTGTAAATATTATCCAGTTATATGAACATAATAAAGAAAGAGAAGAACAAAAAATTCACAGATAACATTCTAATTATACGAAAATTTCACAACTTTTTCGCAATTTTCAGACATTCAAAAGCATAGAGGCCAAAGCCAAGTATCGCAGAGCATCGCAAGCAGAGCCCAGAGCAGATCGTACCTATTTGGTTTTCTGTTGTAATCGCGCAATCTGTTGTATCGCGGTGGTCATTCAAGATGCAAGCTGAATTTTTTAAACAACATATTAGCACTAGTGTTCGTAATTCCGAATTCTTTCAAATAACACCTTAAATGCAAGTGTTACGATTGTATTTAAAATCAACGTGTCGTTGGTCCAATCTCGTCAAATTTTTGTGTATCTCTTAAATCAAGGACAGACGCTGCGTAATGTTTATTGTGTTTTTGGGACAGATTATATAAATTTTCTTCGTCAAAATCGGTATTCACGTAATATTTATAATCAATCGTAGGTTCCCAGTTAGATCATGACATAATCCTTATTAATACCTTCAGAAAAACCATGATATTTTGCCTTCCGATAACTGCTTAACCGAGCGAGGTCCGCGCAACCAACTATCGACCTACGTCAAGTAAATACTAATCACCCGTACCTGTTTGTGCAATTCATTGTGCTGCCGTATCTTGTACTCGAGTTCTTGTAGTTGCGCCTGAAGCCAGCACCAGCGCGAGGCGATCGATGCTCGTGCTCTCTGCCACGACCAGAGCGCCCGTTTTTCTCTGCAAAAAAAGAAAAGAAGATCATTCCAGCGTTGCCATGTTGCCAGTGATACTGAGTGGAGGGTCTGACGGCCACGCCTGCTAGATAGGGTGCAGCAAGTCTGGTTACAGTGTTGAACAAGATCACCTGTCCTAAATCTCTCGGGTTCTGCCTCGGGCATGGACCTAGTGAAAACGCAGGAGAATCATTTAGGGGGTGGCTTCAGCTCTCCCACATACTCCACACGACCCCTCAGCGCAGAAATCTCGTAAAATTCGACCCCCGGCCCAATAAGTGTATCCCAATTTAAAGAGTAGCACACCAGTGTATCATTATTTTTTTTGTTATTGCTTAGGATGGGTGGACGAGCTCACAGCCCACCTGGTGTAAAGTGGTTACCGGAGTCCATAAACATCTACAACGTCACGGTGCCAGCCACCTTGAGATACATGTTATATGGTCTCAGTATAGTTACAACGGCTGCCCCACCCTTCAAACCGAAACGCATTACTGCTTCACAGCAGAAATAGGCGGGGTGGTGGTACCTACCCGCGCGGACTCACAAGAGGTCCTACCACCAGTAAAAATCATCTCTCACGAATAATGTTTACAAGCTCTTATTTAACTTAAAATATTTGTTTAGGTCAAAACTTGAAAGCTAAATTAGAATCACTTTTTCTGAACATATTGAGTTCATTTTTTTATATTATGTTGGTTCAGTTTAGATATCAATGATTTTTTGTCGTAAGCATGACCTGAACCAATAGCCAGAAATAACTCCAAATAGACTAATTTTTCATCAATCAACAGAATAAGCACGAAATTTTGTATACGTATTGCGCTTGCATTTATTTATTATTTAAATTCACCTATTAATTAAATTGTGCAATTTATAAGATTAGCTGTACTTGTCCGCTTCGCTGGGCATTTAAAATTAACCTTATTATTTCTCAGCCCCCACAAAGATTCTCATCATTAACGCCCCCGATACTGGTGTAGAGTCAAACACTCATATAAATATTACCCTATCCATTAAGTACATGTATTTTCTACATGGATACCAAGTTTCAAGTCAATCGGATGCATGGTTCAGTAGCTATAACGGAACATCCGTAAAAACCACTGTAGACTTATACTTAGTCTGGTCATAAATACTGTTACAATTAAAAATAAACAAAATATTACATTTGAATTTGGAATCTGTCATTTTTATATGATTGCTCATTGAGTTTTCTCATTTTGGCGCCAATACATTGTACAAGGTCATTCGGGCAAAAACCAAAGTGATCGATATAGCTCGCAGAGTTAGTAAGCTGAAGTGGCAGTGGGCTGGTCACATATGTCGCAGAACCGATAACCGTTGGGGTAGACGTGTTCTGGAGTGGAGACCGCGAACCGGCAAACGTAGTGTAGGACGCCCTCCTGCTAGATGGAGCGACGACCTGCGCAAGGCAGCTGGNGCTCGCAGAGTTAGTAAGCTGAAGTGGCAGTGGGCTGGTCACATATGTCGCAGAACCGATAACCGTTGGGGTAGACGTGTTCTGGAGTGGAGACCGCGAACCGGCAAACGTAGTGTAGGACGCCCTCCTGCTAGATGGAGCGACGACCTGCGCAAGGCAGCTGGCAGTAACTGGATGCGTGGAACCGAAGATCGGGTTCAGTGGCGAGTTTGCGGGAGGCCTATGTCCAGCAGTGGACTGCCGCAGGCTGATGATGATGATGATGATATTGTACAATATTTTGCGATATTAAAATGGAGTGGGGTGATAAAGAGAACCGAATCGCTGTGATTGCATTACACAAAGTAGGTATGGAGCCAAATGCAATTTTTAAAACTCTCCATACGCTTGGTATTAGTAAAATGTTTGTGTACCGGGCTATTAATAGGTGCAATGAGACCTCCTCTGTTTGTGACAGAAAAAGATCCGAGAAGCCGTCCACGTAGTGTTCGTACGAAAAAGGTGGGCAAAGCAGTAAGGGAAACAATTCGAAGAAATCCTGTCCGAAAGCAAAAGATTTTATCTCGGGAGATGAAGATAGCACCTAGAACCATGTCGCGTATTTTAAAACATGACTAAGGACTTGCAGCCTATAAGAGACGTACTGGTCATTTCTTAACTGATAATTTAAAAGAGAATAGGGTGGTAAAATCGAAACAACTACTGAAAGCGGTACGCAAAGAGAGGTCATAGAAAAATTTTGTTTACGGATGAGAAATTTTTTACAATTAAGCAACATTTTAACAAACAAAATGACCGTATTATGCTCAAAGCTCTAAGGAAGCTTCCCAATTAATCGACAGAGTACAACGTGGGCACTATCTGACTTCAGTGATGGTTTGGTGGGGTATTAGCTATGAAGGAGTGACTGAGCCATACTTTTGTGAAAAAGGTATCAAAACATCGGCATAAGTGTATCAAGATACCATTCTTGAGAAGGTAGTGAGGCCCCTTAACAACACCATGTTCAATAATCAAGAATGGTCCTTCCAGCAAGACTCGGCGCCAGGTCATAAAGCTCGGTTTACGCAGTCTTGGTTGGAAACGAATGTTTCGGACTTCATCAGAGCTGAAGACTGGCCGTCGTCTAATCCCGATCTTAATCCGCTGGATTATGATTTATGGTCAGTTTTAGAGAGCACGGCTTGCTCTAAATGCCATGATAATTTGCAGTCCCTAAAACAATCCGTACGATTGGCAATGAAAAATTTCCCATGGAAAGAGTGCGTGCTTCTATTGATAACTGGCCTCAACATTTAAAGGACTGTATTGCAGCCAATGGAGACCACTTCGAATAAGCTTTTTATACTTTAAATTGTTTTATATTTATGTATTAAACTAACACACTGTAAAAGTAATAAATGTTATTTGCAATAGATTTATTTTATTTTATTGTAACAGTATTTATGGCCAGACTAAGTATATTAGTAGGTATAGATAACAAACTTTCGCGAGTTCTACCTGAAGTAGCATTTTAAAAAATCTGGTTTTAAAAGTATATTTTAATCTGAATCTTTATTTGGTTTTCTGTGAGCGAATAAACTGATGGTCTACCTGACGTTAAGCGATTACAACAGAGCTCTGTTTAAGTAAAGAAAATCACAAGATCGGAAAATTCAGTCAAAAGATCCCTAAATACATAAACGTTACCCCTCTGATCTCAAGACCTCAGGTAAATTCAATGTATCAACGCGCTTTGATTGTGAGACCGATCGAAACTTCAATTGTACTGTAAAACGTCTGTCCGAACCATTCATACCGGAACGTACAACTGTATGTTAAGTGCGAGTTTTTTAACGTTCTCGTTAGCGTAAAAGTTAACTCAAATTTGTATGGAATTGGAACGTTTGCCTACGTTTGCCGCTAGGGGCGCTGTTCCAACTCCATACAAATTCGAGTTAACTTTTACGTTACCGAGAAAGTTAAAAAACTCGTACTAAGCACAATGCTTCGATGCAGAAATACACAGGACGGTGTACCTACTCATAACTGTCACTGAAGAGATAGGTGGATCACCCACTATCATTAAAGGAGATAAGGTAGTGCTATTTTAGGCCCACTCCACACCTGAGTTTAATTAACGCTGTGTTTAATGATTGTAATGATGATGATTCTACATACTTATTAACTAAATAACATTGGGAAAACCAAAAAGTTCCAGAAAATTAATTAAAAATAATTTATTTAGTCATGAAACATCTGTTATTGCTTTATTATATTAATATAGGGGTTAAAGTATGAAATTGCCATTTTAATGTAATAGGTACTTCGAATTGACCTAGAACCTTTATGCTTTGAAATTTTTGAATGAAACTTTTTTCAAATGGTACCTATGAGGTTCTTCTTTTAAAAAATGTGCAATATTCGATTATCGACTTTCATTTGTTTTTTTTATTCAGCTTAGACAAGAATCTTTCTTGTAGGTAATTGTACTTGATACTTCGAAAATTCGAGTGATTTTTGAACGCGGAACTAACGCTGCAGAAACAGCTCGCAATATCAATGTTGCATTTGGAGAGGGGACTGCTAATGAACCCACCGTGCGATTTTGATGTTTTTGTGATGGACATTTTAATTTTAAGAACGAACCACGTGGCAGACTGCCCACACACGTGAATAACAATGAAATGAAAGAGATGGTGAAAGCCGATCCGAGCCAAACTTCCCAGGAATTAGCGGCATGGTTTAACGTTTATTGACTCATTTGCGTCAAATCAATAAAATATGAAAAATAGTTGCCTCATGATTTGACTGATCTGCAGAAAGAAACGCGTGTTGAAACTTGTGTTGGCCTGTTGAATCCAGAATTTAATACAATGAAGGAATATTGGATTGAATAGTCACATGTGAGAAAAAGTGGATTCTTTACGATAACCGTAAGCGAAAAATACAATGGTTGACCCCAGGTCAAACGCCGCAACAGTGTCCTGAAGCAAAGCTTATAAATAAAACGGTAATGGTAATTGTTTGATGGTCTCAGCATGGTGTTATTCAGTAGAGCTTTCTTCGATCTAATCAAGCAATAACGGCAGATTTCTACTGTGCCGAACTCCGAACAATAATAGCAAAATTTGCAGTGAAACAGCCCCGACTCATTAATCAATCTTCACCATTATTGCTCCATGATAACGCGAGACCTCATACAGCACGAGAAACCGTTTTAACTCTACAGGAACTACAATTAGAAACCATTCGTCACCCTCCGTATTCGCCAGACCTTACTCCAACGGACTACCATTTTTTTCGTGATTTGGATAAATTTCTACATAGTAAAAAGTTTTCTTCCCAGGAGCCAGTACAAAATGCTTTCACACATTTTTCTAGAATCTAGCTTTAGAACCAGAGTTCTATATATAGCAAAGGCATAAATGACTTTCCTATTAGATGGCAGCAATGTATACGTAATAATGGTAGATATTATGATTAAATTTGATGTTAAATGAAAAAAAAAAAATTCAGTTTTTCAGTACAAATCGGCAATTTCTACTTCAATTATTTTATTTTACAAACAAACATTCAAATAAAAAAATTTATTAATATATCTTTACAATTTTCCTTTGTAATATTAATTTTTTTAAAGTATCAAAAACCGCTTATTATATATGCTCAGTCTTTGCTTGAGCTTTTGTTTATTTTATTTAATTGATCTCTTCTCAAAGACCAGTACCCCAGGAAAGGAAAAGAAGCTCAAATCATCCCATTTTTTAAATAAGAGACACATTCTGATTACAAACCATAGAATAATATCTTTAGGTACCTACCCAAAACAGGGCATTGTAAAAAAATTTTTTTTGTAACTTAATCATAATTCAAATGGTATTCAAAGTTCTCAACACAGGTTTGATAAGGCCAGGTGAACAATGAGAAACTTTAGACAATTTATTACATAAGGTAGTCATTACATATAAGGTAGACGACAGGTTGACGTGAACTTTAAAAAGCTTTGATTGTGTAGATAATGATGATGCCTACTCCAAACCGAAACCATAGTCAAGTAAACTGATTACATATTTATATAAGTACTAAATATATTCCATAGTAAATACACCCTTAATTAAAGCCTTCGTTTTAGATGATCATTAACAGATAATTAATTTACAAACAGGTTATGCACCTTCTTCATGCTGGGATTTTTTACTTACATGAATTAAAAAAAATGCTAATGCAATGAAAATTATTTCTGTTGAAGTTTAGTAGTCTGAGAATAAAATCAAGAGGTTCTTTTTATATGCAATCACACAATAACAGTAACATTAAGCTATATTAGCTTATAGCCAATGGTAGCTTTGGTACCATTGCCAAAAAAATACATAGACCAGCCTTCATGACAAATTACATTGCACCCAGAGGCTGGCTCTTTGGTGGTGATGGAACTATATTAATAGTGGTTTTCAGAGGTAAGCTAGATATGCCACCACTTTACTTGTTCCTCTGGAGCCGACGATGTCAGCAACCAGACTGAAATCTTTAGGTTGATCACAAATGACACCAGAGTAACTCATGCCTCCACACATAGTCAATAAAGCAGAAAATGGGAATTTCTTTTTTCAAGGCAATGTCCCATAGAAGACTTACGCAATTCATCTTTGTCAAGAAATTAAGGAGGTGGCAAATCACAACCATGAAGAACTAAGAGCAGGACAGGATTCTTTCTAGAAAGACTTGCATATTAACTGACACTGTTAAAATAACACCTCCAGAAAAAATTCCAGTGTATTTTATAAAATAATAATATTAATTTACAACAATTTAGATTTCTAATTTATCAATCTAATAATAATATTATGGAATATGCCAGTATCATAAAGGCAGCACCATTTATTTCCAATAAAGTCATTATCTGACCTATTAGAATACTCTCATATTTTTGTGTATTTATAACAAGAACCAAGAGGGAAGTATAGTAAAGGTAAAAGTTTACTCACTATCTTGTTCAATAGTTTTTAAATACTTAAAGCTCATTGATCATATTAAGTTAAAAATTTATATACAAGCTTTTACTAGTAGCTGCAGTTTTTGCATAATGCTGATTCAAGCAATGTAATTGGAACCTACGCCCAAAACACAACAATATCTTTGGTTTGAAAATTGTATATTAGGTTTAACAAGTTAAATTAATTATACTTGTTAAATTATTATTAAAGCCAGGCTTATATTGACAATGTCACCTGCACCTTTAATCTTTTTTTTTTATTGCTTAGATGGGTGGACGAGCTCACAGCCCACCTGGTGTTAAGTGGTTACTGGAGCCCATAGACATCCACAACGTAAATGCGCCACCCACCTTGAGATACAAGTTCTAAGGTATCATGTATAGTTACAACGGCTGCCCCACCCTCCAAACCGAAACGCATCACTGCTCCACGGCAGAAATAGGCAGGGTGGTGGTACCCACCCGCGCGGACTCACAAGAGGTCCCACCACCAGTAATTACGCAAATTATAATTTTGCGGGTTTCATTTTTATTACACGATGTTATTCCTTCACCATGGAAGTCAATCGTGAACATTTGTTGAGTACGTATTTCATTAGAAAAATTGGTACCCGCCTGCGGGATTCCAACACCGGTGCATCGCTTCAACACGAATGCACCGGACGTCCCATCCGTTAGGCCACGACGACTTCAAATCTCACATTATTTAATTACTAGCTTTTAGTCATAGCTTCACTTACGTTTATGTAGTATAAAACCTATTCCTCAGAAATAATACTTTATTTCTGGACATATTTTTCTTCCTATGTGATTTTTCTGTACCCCTGACAAAATGTGGAAAATTTCATGACATTCAGTTCAGTAGTTCAAGTTTGACCAACAAATGCACTTTTGTATTAATGATACATTCGCATTTTATTAATGACACAGTATAAGTACTTATAAATAAAACCATTGAATAAACAACCCGAAAAAGTACAAATAATCATTTTCACTTCTGACCTCCACATAAATAACTTGGTTGTTTTATTTTATGTTATTTAAGTGAGATGTATATGATATCCACTGAATTTAATTAGGTTTGTAAATTTAACCATTGGTGATAACAGTACCAAATTATAAATATCCAAACTAGTACTGATTAATTCCCATAAACATAATTTAAGATAATTTTAGAGCTTTTCATTAAGACAGTAAATACAGATTGGACCTACCAAGTACTGAAAAAAATATATAAATTTTAAATGTACTGTTTCATTATAATTATCTTTTAGCTGAAATAAACAGTTGGATTATTTAATTCATAATAGTTAAAGATAGATTAAAATGAATTTTAATTTACATTCATGGTCATTGTTATTGTTTCATTACATATAAGTTGTTTATCCATTAGATTTATAATTTACAAAAAACAACTAAGGATATTTTAGCATTGGAAGCTTTTTCTTCAATCATATCTATTTCAGATCTAAATTATTTATAGTCAATCTTTTTACTCAGAATGGTATTTACCTAACCTTTTTAAATATAATTGTAAAGAAAATCAGATTCCTAAAAACTTGTATGTACCAATGTATCTGACATTGGATTGTTTTAATATCAGTCTGTTTAAAGCAATCATAAAACTTAAATACTCACATAGGCATTTGCTGTTGATGTGGATTATTGTAAGTCACCACTTCATCATTACTCTCTGCCCCTGATGAAGATGCAGTGGCATCAGAATCAAGCTGGTACTTCACTGCTGTTAGCTGTGATCTCAGGGCCGCTGCTGTATCATCCAAGCCTGCCAGAGTCCCCGGTGGAATACCAATCGATGCAGACTTGGATGGATCACTTTTTGATGTTCCTGCATTGTAATACTTTGGCCCAACCACAGTCTTTGATGCAGCACTTGCTTGTAATGCTGCAGTTGTTTCTATTCGTTTTAAAAAAGCTTTCAAGCCCATTGGTCGACCTCCACTGTCCTTACGAGCTCCGCGGGTGCATTTCTCAAATGTTTGGACCACTTCTTCAGATATTCTCTTCCCGATGGATCGGGTTTGCAGTATTCTTAGCCTCCTCTGCAGGAAAGCACAACGGCGTTCAAGACGTGCCTGAGTAGCTTTTATCTTATCCTCTATGCTATCACCCTCAGAATCAACTACTTCAGTCAAATCAAAACCAGAGAGAGGAAAAATAGCATCAGGCTCTCCGGTAGATAATACATCACCACCACTCTCAAGGGTTTTTATGGCCTGGAGTAAATCTGGATGGTTAAAGTCACTACCACCCAAATCAACAAGGATCTGTTCCATCTCTTGAGAGTCTTTCGCGAGGCTCGGCTGGTTGGGGAGGCCCATGTCATCTTCCTCCATGTGTATCGCTATGTTATCGACGGACGTGAGCGCCCGCCGCCGAAGGGAGTCGTGACCGTCGGGCTCGTCTCGGGGCGCCAGCGGGAGCGCAGGGGCCATGACACGTCGCTCTCCGCCGGACGCCGCCCGGCCCTCACGCCGCCCGCCCCGCCACCATAACCGCCCTTATGTAACGACACTGCACCGCACAACACCACACTTCACTCAATCCACTAGCACTTCACTGACACATTGCACAAGATTTTCAATAGATAGCGTCAGTCTCCCGCCGGTTCCATGATACGATAGAAACCGATGACAGAAGTCGAACGATTCGGCGCGCTTCTGCAAAAACAAAGACGCTTTGATTATTATGCCGGGCTTTATTGTCTGTATTGGACTGTCTTCTCTGTGGAGTACGAAGTCGTGGCCTCACGAATCAAACAAGGCGGCGTAATTCGAAATTCGGCCCACGTGATAACGAAAACGGAGCAATAGCCGTCGCAGTGGCTTGTTTCTGTTCCATACGAAACAGGAAATGATACATTAGAAACACTTAACGCAAACAAAAAATATTTCACGAGACTGAGTATCTACTGAACATTATCAACGTGATTTATTGAACTTATAATTGACAACAATAAGATTTTCTCAATTTTAATGGCGGAACTAGTCTAAAAACACCACTGTTTGACTGACTAGGTTGATATGTAGGTACTTATTTCCAGTGACGAAATGAAACGTTTGCCGCACTAGACGGCCAGAGTGCAATACAAAGTCATTAAACAGCATGTGAAAAAGAGATAGCTAACATAGCAAAGGTGTAATTGAGCGCGGCAGTTTAAAATTGATTCGACATATTAATGGTAGTATTTGTATGTAGGTATTGGTAGTATTTTGGTGAATATAAATATAAATATCATTACTTAAATTTAAACATACACATACATACATATTAGTGCTATTACAGAATTTATCATTTTGTCGGATCAATTCCTGTAACCCAAGTGATGCATGATTTCCCTAACCTTCAAATGTTTTATAATTGAATTTTAACTTGGGTTTTTTTAATTGCTGACATATTTTTACTTAAAATAAACAATCTCGTGAAAAACAAAAAATACCGTAACTGTCGCAACTTGTAAGAAAACCTTGAAAAATGTTTTAGATTTTACTGTTCCATCCCCCTTGTATAACCTATCGATAAATTTAGCATGACATTAGCCTGTCTGTCATGCGCTTTCCGAGTTTTGTTTCTACATTTGATATTATCATGTTTTAGTTTTAATAGAATTCGCGAAAAACTATATACATTACTACATATTTAAATAAATAAAAATTATTTCACTTCGAATAAAGCAATGTTTCGTTTGAAAATGAGAGAAACCTTTTTTGCCAAATTAGGCAAAAGCTTACGGCGTATACAGCCTTTATGTATTTATGTAAGAAATCATTTTCACAGATTAAGCGCAGTCAGCCGCAGTCTATGAACTCGTAAGGAATTGAAAGAGTAGAAGCCTTTTAGTTTTTCAGGAATTATGAGAAATAATATTTCGTCATTCTCAACAAATACATTTATATAGGCTTGCGTCATTCTAACATGAAGAATAATTTGTTAAAAGGGTCTTATTTAATAACATAATCTGAAAACATTAAAATTCAAATAATTTCTCCAAGCCACTTAGGTTAACTTACAGTTTAAATTATTAAAATAGGAATACCTACACTTTAATGGGTACTTCCAAGAATATTGTAATTACAATTCGTTTTTAATAAATCTATAATAAACCTGATTAATATTGACTCTATTACTCGTATGTCATCAAAGAAAAAATTATGAACTTCTGTAAAAACATTAATTTCTATGGTTTATGCAAAATCCGTTTCAAATAACAATATTATTCCTAAACATAATTAAATGAGTAGTTGGCTTTCCAGACAATATAGAAAAACTACTTTTATTTTAAGAATAATTTGATTGTATATTTTTATTATTTTTTGCTATCTATAACTAATATTGATATTTCATGTTTAGTAATGTCAAATAATACTGATGGTTATGTTGAAATAGCAATTTACTTAATTAGAAAATTATCTTACCTTCATTTGTAATATTAAGCTGAACTGAGTTCTTTCACAAGACTTGAAGTATCGCTCCAGTGAATTTTTCATATTGAGCTAAAATAAATAAAATTGAACTAGAACCAACACTAATTACTAGATGTTGTTTATTTAAGCTTCTAGGCATTGAACATAAACATATGATCTTTATAAGACAAGTAGGTACTTTTGCTTGACATTTTAAACTTCATACTAAGACGCTGATTAATTTTGAAACAAAAAGGTTTTATTTGATCATACTTTGGTCAGTTTTAGAATGAAATAAGTATATTATTTTCTTTTTAGTTTAAAATCAGTTTTGAGTACCAAAAATGGATGTAATGTATCACACAAAATAATGTGAATAAGTATTTTTTTTCATATATTTTTTCAGTTTTCATAAAAAAAACTTTTATTTTACTGTCCTAAACATTTTGTTCTTCAAAGCTCTCAAATATTACCTGATGATTTTCATTTTAGTGGCCCATACATGAAACGATACGCTGATAGGTACTAAATACTAAAACATTTTAATAATTTCAGGATTCATGAAATGCAAGTATTTTGCAATTTAATTCCTCACAAATGTTGGTAATTAACTTGCGAAATGTAGGTCTTAATAGATACGATAATAGTTCTGAAGATTATTTTAGCATAACTTAATGTTGAGGTCAATTCAACAAATTTTAAAAATGTATTTTCAAGAATTTTCTTGTATAATAATTATCTACTTAATGGATTTTTACCTCATTTTTCAAGTAGCAAAATGAAAATAATTTTTTAATATAGTGCTGTGTGAGTCAAATTTTGAGCTACTTTTTAGGCAACTATTTAACAATACGAGAATAAATCTTAAATTAGGTGTTCCACATGTACGTACGAAAGTAAAGGTAGGTATAGTTGGTATACATAAAAAAGGTAATTAACTTAAAAAGTTGGAAATTTTAATTACAAGTTTACAATAAGAAAATGAATGGGAGAAAAATAAAAGTATGAAAATCAAGTTATTTTTTTACAATACCTTTAAAAATTTAGCTCAAAAATTTTCTGCTTTTACAAACTTTTCAGAATGTAGGTAACAAGAACGAGAAGGAAAATCTACCTATTCGAGATGTACAAATAAATACACAATGATTCGTAATAAGTAAAAATTGAGTTCTAGTATTGCCTAATATTTACCTGTTCCGTGATAATTTTCATTGTACAGCTAAAAGACTTTGTAATTAAAATACCTACGTTTTTTAATCTGAAACCGTAACATGACTAGTTACTTTTATTTCGTTTAAAAATCTAGACAAATATTCTTTATTTATTAGCTTTTCCTCGCCTGCAATAGCTTAACTAACATTGCTTAATTTTCGTTTTTCAGTTTATATTATAATGATTTTACCTTAATGGGATTTTACGTTTCCTTCAATAAAAAATAAAATAATTTTTCTAATTAAAATAACGTAGGTGATTTCTACGAGTTTGTAAATTTACTATTGAAAAACGAATTTAACTAATCAATGACATGCTTTCTGTAAAATATGTGTTTTTTCTCATTTATGGACAACAATTACAGGTTACAATATCTGTTTTGCTCTTTATTTTAGACTGAATCACACTACTTTATTTTTTACTAGCGACCCGCCCTCGCTTCGCTTCGGAAACATTAAAACACACATGAAACCAAAAAAAATAAATAAAATAAATAAATAAAAAAGTAGCCTATGTTCATCAGGGACAATGTCGGCTTCTAATGGAAAAAGAATTTTTCAAATCGGTCCAGTAGTTTCGGAGCCTATTCGAAACAAACAAACAAACAAATCTTTTCTCTTTATAATATTAGTATAGATATAGATAATAAATACTAAATCTACTGCCGCCAAGAGAATGTTCCAACTTCAATTCATCGTAAAATGATAAAATTTGTTTTAAGTTGATAGAATTTTGTATTTTTATGGATAAGTATTCGTTATTGGGGTAAATAAGCAATTAAATGTATTTTTATTCGCATATTCAATGCTGTTTCAAAGTGAAAGACGCATACTTTTAGCGGCCAGACAGTATGTGTACCTGATACAGTGATTTGGAGCAAGCTACAACACTAATGAGCACCGCACTGTCAGAATTGTGTCAAATTTATGTCAATGAATATAGATTGTGTTTAGGTATAAAGATATTTTGAAATTACAAACAAAAATAGACAATACATTTTTCAAAACATTTAAAAGTTATTAATGATGTAAAATTAGAAAGAAGCTTTATGTTATCAATATAGTATTGAGGGTAGAGGTACCTCTAGTGCTTATTGCGAGTTTCTTAACTTTCTCGATAGCGTAAAAGTTAAGCCAATTTTGTATGCAGTTGGAACAGCGCCTCTAACGGTAAACGTACCTACCTACGCAAACGATCCCATTTCATACAAATATGAGCCACTTTTACGCTATCGAGAACGTTAAAAAACTCGCATTAAGCACCTTGAACTATGTATCCTACGGCGTTTTTTTTTTTGGTTTAAACCGTATATGTTTAGTGGCTTGAGGAGTTTTATTTTTTAAAACATTTTAGAATGTCAAATGTCGCACATTATAATTTTAATTGGTAATTATATTATTTATCAAAGTATAGGTAATTATATTATTCTCTTACTTTTTTTTCCCTACCTATCAGCATAACCTTGGTAGTTTTCCAATTACAGAGCTTAATGCGACTCAGTGACGCACAATGGCGAATTATGCTAAAGCTTAGTTGAGCATTATGCCGCATAATGCGCTCTTGTGCTGTAATTGGAAAACGGCCCTTAACTAGTAAGTGAGCTCACAGGGCTCAAATCTGACGACGTTGCTAACACAAACCTTAACAAGAGCCGTGCTTCGCAGAATCTACCACTGGATCGAAACGCGACCCACTAAGAAGATCCGGCGAGAAACTCAGTGGGCTGTGTCTGAGGGTTCATTCACAATGGAAGTCAATCGTGAGCATTTATTAGATACGTATTCATTAGAAAAACTGGTATTTGTATGCGGGATTCGAACACCATTGCATCGCTACATACGAATGCAGCGGACGTTTCACGGAGTCTTTCAGGCTGAGCCCCATGAACTCACCTGCACACCCGGTGAAACTAGACCAGCTCCTCGAGGCTACTGACAGTAGATAGGCAAAAAAAGCTTAAGTTATAATATCTCAATGAAAATTTAATATTTAATTATAGTAATTAATCCTAGGAGTTTCTCGCGCCTATATTTTAAACTGAGTTTAAAATAAGAATGTGCGCGTCAATGATCTTAATTTGTCAAAGTTCGATAAAAAAGTATGGACAGCAACAAAAATATTTACATATCTTTCTTTTTAATACTTTAAATAATTATCGTCTTTAGGCTTACCAACATCGAGTGTGGTGGTAAAAACGTCCATAATGCGCACCACACCGTCGGCAAGTTTGACTCGTTGAGAGGAAACGCTAAGAGGGTGGTTGTTCTGCGGGAGGAGAGCGTATAGTGTATGGCCCGCGATGCAGTGTTTTGCAGCTGTGTCCACTAAAGTGGTGCCGTCAAAACCCAGTATATTTATGTTAAAAATCGGCCGTACGTCATGACTAATAGGGGATCCCGTAAGATCGCCATCTCCGCCGCAACCATA